CGCCCTGGAGCGCGAGCAGGCGCGGCACGGGGACCTGCTGCTGCTGCCCGCGCTGCGCGACGCGTACGAGAACCTCACCGCCAAGGTGCTCGCCATGCTGGCCTGGCTCGACGAGCACGTGGCCTTCGAGTTCGTGCTCAAGGCGGACGACGACTCGTTCGCGCGGCTGGACGCTCTGTTGGCCGATCTGCACGCCCGCGACCCCGCGCGTCGCCGCCGCCTCTACTGGGGCTTCTTCTCGGGCCGCGGCCGCGTCAAGCCCGGGGGTCGCTGGCGCGAGGCGGCCTGGCAGCTCTGCGACTACTACCTACCCTACGCGCTGGGCGGCGGCTACGTGCTCTCGGCCGACCTGGTGCGCTACCTGCGCCTGAGCCGCGAGTATCTGCGCGCCTGGCACAGCGAAGACGTGTCGCTGGGTGCCTGGCTGGCGCCCGTGGACGTGCAGCGCGAGCACGACCCGCGCTTCGACACCGAGTACAAGTCCCGCGGCTGCAGCAACCAGTACCTGGTGACACACAAGCAGAGCCTGGAGGACATGCTAGAGAAGCACCAGACGCTGTCGCGCGAGGGCCGCCTGTGCAAGCAGGAGGTGCAGCTGCGCCTCTCTTACGTCTACGACTGGTCCGCGCCGCCCTCGCAGTGCTGCCAGCGGAAGGAGGGCATCCCCTGAGCGCGACGCCGCACTTGCGACAGCGGAACTCACCCGGGACAACCAGCGCACAGGGGCAGGAGGCTCCAGGAGGCCAGGACAGTCACCTCGGAAGGTGGCGGCGACAGTGAGTCTTTCTGGAGCCCCTCACTGGGGAAGCTGACAGGTCTGGCCAGTTGTCTGGGAGAGTCCAGCCTTCACGGAGAACCCGGTCTATACGCCGATGCGTGGGCAGAACCTCCCGCGCTGCAGGCGCTTGCAGCCCGGTCCCAGCCTGTTCTCTTGCCGTCCTGTCCCAAGATAGAGACAACGAGCCAACGAGCCAAGGGTCAGAGCTGATGGGCACTTGCAGAACCTGACCCTGAAGACAGTCTGACTTGTCAAGGGTGGGGACATGCACCGTATTATCTGTCCACCGAGGATGCCACTGCATGAGAGCCCTAACGGCTGTAAACTGACCACAGCCCTTGCCAGTCACAGCCTGCCCATGTGCTGCAATCCAGTGGCTTTTATCAAACTGCCGCTGCTTTGTACCACTTGGTTACCTTCCTTTGCATCCCACGTTGGTGTCATTTATTGTGTCTAAGTCTAAGGTCAAACTCTGTCTTGTTAATTAGCTCTCCTGGTATTGTGAGTGTGTCTCCCTAGAGGGAATTTGTGGTAAATGGGATTCAGGGCTTGCCTGTGATTTATTTATAAATACTGTACATTTGTGTAGGTACGAGTGTCGGTTGGAAGTATGTGGATATCGGTATTTTTTAAGTTATTTGAGAAGACTTCTGTGAGAACTTGGAATTTGTGAGTTAATCTGTTTTTACAGCGCGAGTTCCTGCATGCATGTTTAAACGTGGAAGAATTTTAAAACTGTCCATTTTTCTTTTCAGTTTACACATAAGTCAGTCTCGTTGTCTGCCTCTGAGAAGACTTTCCTTTTAAGGCCTCCCCGCAGTCGCACGAGCGCGTGTTTCTTGCTCTCGTCCCTATTATTTTAGACTTGGGGCCCAAATTCCAGGAATCTGAACCCTTGGAAGTGTTGATGAGGGTTCCCAAACCCTGTCTTAAGAAAACAGGCCTCGCTCGCTGGCGGGTGCGTGCCTCTGGCTGCGCTGCGGATGGCCACCTCTCGTGTCTGCAGACCAGGGTCTCCGTTTTCCCCTGAAATGTGGAAGTCAGCGCTGTGGTCAGTAAAGAGGCTGCAGGCCGCGCGTGAACTCCGTGCACTGTCTGGGCAGCCGGGCTGTGCTGCCCCTGTGCCCTCTGCGCTGGGCCTGTAAACGGGCTGCCAGCCTCTGATTTGCCTCTTCCTTGCCGTTCTAGTACATTCTCAGGTGTGGGTGAGCAGCTGCCTCCTCAGCTCAGCCGCCGTGACCGACCCCGCAGACAGCCCCATAACAGACGGTCATGTCCCACTGTGCAGGGGGCTGCGGGTCCTCTGGTGAGGCTTCTTCCTGCAGACACGTGGCGGGGGGGAAGCCAGAGCAAGCTCCCTGGGGTCCCTTCTTCTAAGGACATTGATCCGTGGGGATGGAGGAGGGCAGGGACACCCTCTTGACTCATCTCCCCCAGTCACCTCCCAAAGACCAAGCCTCATGACACCGTCGCAAAGCAGGAAGGGCTCACTGAATTCAGGGAACACAATTAGTTCATAGCGGGTTCAGGTTATTTTTTTTAAAGGTAGAAGGATGCGTAGAACTCAGGGTCTTGGGTGGGGGCGCGTTGTGTGCTTAGTGACCTTCAGAAGGTAGAGGCTGGACCAGAGAGGTCCCAAGATTCCACCTGGTTCTGATGCCCAGGTGAGTGCGAGCTTCCTGATTGGCGACCTTGAGCCACAACGGGCAGCCCCTGCCTGCACCTCATTCACGGGACAAGGACCCACGAGAGGATCCAGGTTTGAGGTACCAGAGTAAGCAGAACGGGGACTTGCCCCCAGTGGGGTGCTAACAGCAGCCATCGTTGCCTGGGCTGTTTTGTCAACTTAGGTCACTGGGCCGTTGGCGTGCACACGCTTCCCGTCTCCCAGGCAAGGGAGAGCCCGAGGACAGACTGCTGAGGCCCCGGGGCCAGTGTCGGAGCCAGGACTCGAGGGCTGGGCCCCGGATCCTCCCCGGCACCACCGGGTCCGGCCACAGCATCCAAGTTTCTCCTGAGAGTGGGTCCTGCGCGATGTGCAGCGCCCATGTCCACGACCCGTGGTAGGGCATCCACGAGCCAGGCACAAGTCTTCAGGGGCAGCCCGAGCCTTGACCGCTGACCCACGTGTGCAGCAAGATTTGACCACAGAAATGGAAATTTCACATTGTTGAACCTAAAACACCAAGGTTCAGCACAGCAGACCACCCCCTGGGCTGACCACACACCCACACCACAGTTGTGACATCAGGGTTCTGTCGAAGCTGAAGGCTGGCAAGCCACAACACCCTGTGCCTGAGGTCCTGGAGGCCGTTCCCACTGGCCCCGATGGCTCCTGGCCTCCTCCGGCCTCCTCCGGCCTCTCCTCCACTCTCGTCCACTCTCCTGTCCACCGGCTTTCCCGGCCCTGGTGCTGGACCCTCCCCGCTCCCTGGCCCCTGCCCCACCCCACGGCTCCTCTTGGCCAGGGACTATCTGTGCCACCTGGACATGTGTGCCCTGTAGACCAGGGGCTAAGCCCAGGGCCCAGGAGATGCGGATGTGGGGCCACCAAACCAGTGTTTATGAGATAACTGAGGACATAGGACAACTAACTTTTCTTCCAGCCAAACTGGCCCCTCCCTGAATGTCGCCAGAGCTCTCCCTTGTGGGCGCACTCAAGGGGAGGTGGCTGGGAGCTTGGCTGCTGGGGGACCATGATGAGGCATCAGCTGCCACTCACCCCCGGTAGCGGCCCCTTCACTGTCCCTCAGTGAGGAGGTGCCCCTCCCAGCTCCCAGAGCCAGAAAGCTGGAAGCTTCAACACCCACCACGGCCCAAGAAGTCGGCAAGCGAGGACAGGTCACGTGCTGCCTGCTCATTTCTGTTACACTGTCGGATGACGAAGCCACACAGGTGGGGACAGATAAATGCTGACAGGGGCCAAGGAGCAGTGCAAATGTCAACTGGCTGACATTGTCCTTTGGTTTTGCAAACCCTGCCATCGGGGGGTCTGGACGAGGGGTGCACCTGACCTCCATGTGTCGTTTCTCACACCGCACGGGAGTCTGCGATTACCTCGAAATTAAAAGTTTGGCTTAAATGGGGGTTTGCCCAGGCCGGAGGACAGTGGTTCAGGAAGGGCTGGAGGCTTGGGGTGAGCCCCCAGGAGGCACGCCACGCCCTCAGCACTGGGGGCTTCGGGCCTTTTCTGGGCCCTGCACCCACCCAGCCCTGTGCACACAGCAGGCTCCTGGTCACCCCAAGGGTGGCAGGGCTCCCCACCCCCAGTGCTGCTGTGTGTACCAGGTATACCCAGTAAGCTCTGGTCACAGGAAGGTCCCTGGCCTCCACGTGCACACAATAAAAATAGGCCCAGTTTCAGAGCCCCGCCCCGGGCACCTGGCCCTCAGCACCTTGCCAGACCTAGGGAGGGGCCTGGGCGGCCCTGAGAGGCTGCCCGCACATGGCCTTGCGCCTGGAGCAGGAGAGCTGAGCAGGGCGCCCGGGGGGCACGAGCTGTCACGTGGGCTGTGCCCACGGCCTGCCCTCAGCCCTGCTGCCCGTCCCCCGTCACCTCTCCACCCCCGGGCCCCCTCCCCTGCTCCTGGCTGCAGCCCCCTCTGGCCTCCACACTGGGGCCCTGCCAGGCATCTCGATGCAGTCTGTGGTTTGAGTGAGGGCCACCTCCTCGGGGAGGCACATTCAGACCACCTGCCAATCACGAGGGGCCAGGAGTAAGACCAGGAGACCCTCCCTGCTGGGCTATCCATTTGGAGGACACGGGCCGGGAGGCGGAGCTGGCACTGCCAGGCGCCCCAGAAGCCATGGCTCGGTTCTAGGCTGATGCCTCAGAGGGGCCTGGTGGCTGCCCTGGTGTCCCTGGTGCAGCCTCGGGATGCAAGTGCTGGTTGTGTCTGGGTCCCCTCAAACCTTCACAGGGGTCTCCATCAGTCCACCCACCTGTGGGGCCTGTGCTTGGCTGTGGTCACGGTTCTCAAGGACCCTGCTGTGGGTATAATTCTGTCCCCAAAATATGCTCAAGACCTGCCCCCCCAGTAACTACGAGTGGAAATAGGGTCTTTCCAGGTGTACTTAAGGTAAGACGAAGTCACCAGGGCAGGTCCTACTTCAATACACCTGGTGTCCTTGTACGAGGCAGACAGGCCCATGAGGAGAAGACCATGTGACCACCGGAAGAGACCGAGCAACCATGCAGCTGTGGGGCGGGAACGGGGAGAGGCTTGACAGGAGTGTGGCCTGCTGGCCCCTGGGCTCGGCTCCCAGCCCCCGTCTGTGGCGCTCGGGGACTAGCGCAGCTCCCCGTCCTTGTCCCTCCCAACTCTGGGTGCTCCGCGGGCACTCGCCAAGCTCACCGACCCCTCGGCCCCTGACTGAGCCCAACCCTCTCCACTCCCGAGGCACAGCACACACCTGTCCAGCCTCTGGCTAGGTGGACGGGGCCCTGCCATGGCCACGTGCCCAGGCGGCCCCACAGCCCTCGGAGGCTGCATCCCTCGGGCCTCCTGGCCCCCACGTCCCTCCCATCCATGGGCCTGGCCCTCACCCCTCACTGGCTGCCCTCAGCCCAGAGCGCCCAGGGTCAGCTCCTCTCGCTGCCCCAGCTGCTGGGCACCCTGTCCGTTGCGAGACGGCTGACTGGTCACCCAGGGCCCCAGGAACACGTGGCAGCTGTCCACGGACAGGCCTCAACCCCCCAGGGGCCGCAGCGAGCCGTGTCCGAGGTGCTGGTGTGGCAGGGAGCCCAGCTCAACGGCGACGCCTGGTTCGCTCCTGTGCCCGCACTCCGGCTCCGGGGCCCTGGGGTGCGTTCCCCCTGAACGACGCACTCTGGGTTGACTGACACTGTCCCCCGGGCACCCGGGGAGCAGTGCTGAGGCCTCCACGCATGTCCTGACGCCTCGGCCGCCCCTCTGCCCACCACCCAGGCCGGCCTTGGAGCAAATATGGGCACCGGGGTGGGGGTGGGGTCTCAGTGCAGCCCCTGTGGGTCTCCTTGTCCTACAGCCCAGAGGCACTCCAGTCCCCGGCCTCCTCTGGGGGTCACCACCCAGCCCCCAGCCCAGAGGACCCTGCGTAGCCTTGGGAGCTGGGACGGCTGCCGTCACCCACCGCGGCCCCCTTGGCCGTCTGCACTCTTTCTTAGGGCCAGGGCGGCCTCACACCCTCAGTTCTACACCCCCCACCCCACCCCCACCCCCGTAGGAAGTGCTCATCCCAGACCAACCCTCCCTCCGCTATCCTCCCAGCTTCCTCCTCCCCACTCGCCCCGCCCACTCCCAGCCTTTGCCCTGGCAGCCTCAGGCCTCCGCTCAGGTGCAGGGCCAAGGCCACGGTGGGGCAGGGGGGTACGCTGCCCTGGGAATGTGCCCACCCCCTCCTCTCTCACTGGCTGAAACCCTGGACCTACATGGAAACAAGTGACTCAGGAAAGATCAGGGGCTCCTGGGAGGCGGGGCAGGGCACCCAGGGACGCTCGGCCCTGGGCCAGGGGCGCGAGATGTGGGACCCCACTCCAGAAGCCACCACAGTCACCCGGGGCAGAGGCTGGGCAGAGGGGCAGCCCCAGTGCCAGCACTGGCTAGGGCGGGGAGCCTGTCGGAGCTGCCCCAGACACCCAGCCGGGCAGCCGCTAGGGCGGGTAGAGAGACTCCCTCCTTTCCCGGACATGGGCCGGAGGCCGCACCTGGGCCATCTCGGGGTGGCCTGAAGGCCCCTTCAGAGGAGTCTCCACTTGAGC